TTATTCAACAATTTAAAATTTAATTATTCTGTAAATTGTAAAATTTCACTTTTTGGACAGTGAAATTTTAATGTGATAGTGAAATTTATTTTATTTATTAGTGGCAATTGAGTAAATTGTTACAATGTGAAGCCTTCGAAAGACATTTGAAATTAAAAGCTTATGTATCACGTAAAGTACACTGTTTTTCCCCCCATATTTTATGTGAATTTACATAACAAATGCTATGTGTGTAAGTAAATTTACCATATTCAAAAAAAGGTTTGGCTTTCTTCTAATTCGATGAATTAGAGGGTGTTGTTAGGTCCATGGAGGCCCATCACGAGTCCCATTTCAATAATCCGAATCATTCAATGTGTAGAACTCGTCGATTACTATATTCTTATAAAAAATCACGTTGATCGGATATCAATAATTGTCTGATCGGATCAAATTTCTGTCGACCGTTCATTTTTTTTTTATACAAAACTGATTTGATCACATACCTATCGATAAACGTATTTTTTTACAAGCATATAGTATTCAACGAATTCTACACATTGTACAATTCGGATTATCGAAACGAGACTCGTGATGGGCTCTCATGAGCTTAATAGCACCCTTCAGTTTACGGACTACAGAGAAGTTAGCCCCTTCAAAAATAAATAAACAAATAAATAATGTTTGGTCCAGTTACTTTTAAAAATGACTGGAGGGAAGACCCTTCAAACAAATAAAAATAATGATTGGCCCAATTACTTTTAAAATTGGCAAGTCTTATACAGACAATTACACACATAAAAAGGAACACTAATGCTTCAGGCCTCGAGAGCTTTAGGCGCGAATTTGTGTTCACCGGTCGACTGGCCGAATGATTACCAGGACGATCGGGTGAAACACTTGTCTACCGCGGTTGTCACCTTGTCGATTGCGACTGTCAACGTCTTTATCGGACGACCGGCTAAACAAATTCGAGACAAATTCATACCTCAATATTCAAGGCCTATAGCACAAGGTTGGGCTTACTAGGCCAATCTTTCATTGTTCTTTTAGACCCAGTTTGTAAATTATATATGAAAGAATAAAATAAAAATAAGGTTTATTACTTACATAATTTTATTATATTTATCTTTAAAAAAAATTAACAAGTATATTGTTGAAAACAAATCGCTTATTTTTTGAAGTATAAATATGATTAAATCATGTAGTTACAATTATCAATCAATGTAATCTTCTCTTTTCATAGGTAATCTATGCATGAAAGGCTAAACAAGTCCATGATTGAACCAATGTTTTGAAAATCGGACCCGTAAGCGAACCAAAAAAGGGATCGGGTGGACGGGTCATCAGTGCAACCGTCAGGTCAAAACGGTCGAACCGTGACGTCATAATTAATATTATATAATTAAAAATATAATGATAAATTATAAATAAATAAATATATATATAAATACTCAAATAAAAATAAAATTGTTGCATAGTATTTATTTATAATATTTTAATAAAGTCATAACTGATAAAAAAAAAGTCACTTGTTTCAAAGAAATTAAATTTTATTAACATTCCCTCCAAACAAATTGATTGAATGCTAGATTTAATTTTGGAGAGAAATGAAATTTTCAACTCTCCCTCAAATTAATATGATTCAAATAATTTGATTGAATCCCACATAGAATTTTATAGGTTCTCTTTAAAAAATCTTTCATATAAATACCAATAAACTTTCATAATCTTCCCAAGCTTCCAATGAGACTCCTCACGAGAGGAGACTCTAGAAATAAGAGTTTTTAGTTAAAATTTTGAAATATATTTATATATATAAGAAAGAAAGAAATAAAAGAAAAAGAAGAAAAATAAAAGAAATTAGAATTTTTCCAATCGTCAAGTCGTTCCAAAATCGGTACCGGGTCACCGGTTTTCCCGGTTGAATCGACGGTTCTACCAATTTTGACAATCTATGCCGGTTTTCAGCCTAGTCCGAGTTTTAGGGTTCTTCTGGATCGGAACTAGGCCCGAGCCCCGGTTCTACCGGTCTAACTGGCCGGTCCAGTCCAGGTTTTAAAACATTGATTATATACTCAACAAATCTTAAACTGTGAACGGTTCAGATCATCGAAATTGAGCTCAAAAGTGGACCTAATAGCCCAGCAAATAGAGAGTCAATGAGAGAGAATAAGTAGAGGATCTTGATTTTATTCAGCTGACTGCAACCCTACTTTGATGGTTCAATAATATAATACTTGTAAAAAATCAAATTGACCGGATATCAAAAACTATGTGTTCGGATTATCGAACTAAAAACTATTTTTTAAAAAAATTTAATAAACAGTTTTCCGAACACATGCTTTTTGATATCCAATCAACTTGCGTTTTTTTATAAGTATGATATACTCAACAAATCTTAAAATGTGAACGGTTCGGATCATCAAAATTGGGTCCAAAAGTAAGCCTAATGACCCAACAAGTAAAGAGATGAAGAGAGAAATAAAAGAGAGGATCCTGATTCAGCTGGATAACCCAGACTAGATCATCCTGGTCTTCTAAGAAGATTGTAGAGAAGTTGCAAGGAAAACCAGGTGACATTCATTGGGTGACAAATTTTCCACTATAAAATATTTGTTAAAAATTGTGGAATCCTGTTTTTTTTTTTTTTTTTTTTGGGAAATCCTCCCACCCTCCCGCAGGTCCAAGGCAGCGCCCCATGAGGAGATCACCAGGGTATCCTGTTGTCCGTTCCGAGTAAGAGACTATAATCTGGAAGCTTGTCCCGACCTCCCAAGGTAAGCTTCGATTAAGTCAGGACTCGCATAGCGGGGAGCATTAAACCCACACCAAGTAACTGATTAGGCATCCTTGAGGTCCAACCTCCTAACCAACAGTGCTTCGCCCAGGAGATTGGCCCAAGGGGGGAATTGAACTTGTGACCTTGGGGCTTAATCCTCCTATTACATGAAAGAGAAGTTATTGAATGTGAGAATACTTTTGGAAATTTCTTGGTAGTTCTTGCTAGCTGCATGGGATTGTTCATGATGGTGTGAGTACAATAATGGAAATAGTAGTCCCCCACCATGTGTGTATTTATCACAGGATCAAATACGGAAATTGTTTCACCGGACGACCTGCCGGAAGACATATGATAGGCGCGGTTGACAAACTCTGACCAAGATGACAGCCGCAGTCGACAAGCTCTGGCCAATCGTCCGGCCGGACTACCGCATGCATAGTTTCTATTTTCGAATCTGTGTTCAGATGTTTGTGCATCTAGACTTTTTGATTGCTATTATGAATGGAGAATCTATGCATTAAACCCCCTGTTGAATAACTTGCTTCCAATAGATATTAGAAACTGATGTTGGTAATCTATCTACACCTTGGATCACTCACTGGCATGTGAAATAATGAAACAAAGGAAAACATGACTTGCCTGTTTATATGGAAATGGGGATTCGTTTTATATGAAATACTATGAAAGCGGGGTTAGTTTATGCAATGTCAATGAAACAAGGCCACATTATGGTGTGTTTTTAATTGTTTAATAAGAATTAAGAACTAAATAACATCCTTAGCTGTTGTAGTTATGGAACATCATTTCACCATTAAGATGCATTATGAGATAAGACATGCCAGTGATTATATTCTAACGGTTAGTGATCAGTTTTAGATCGGAAAAAGATGTACCTTACTTGGATGGAAGATTGTGATGAGAGCTAAAGTGAGCATACAGTTAAGGCATGTACCATATGACAAGTTTTTTGAGTTTGAATTGGTTTTATCCTTCATTCCCACGCCACATACATTCAAGGGTTTCTAGAGTTGCTTAACTATGTTAAAACAGACCTTGGGAAAGAACTAAGTCAAAGTCATTGCAATAATGCATGTGTAGTTCCGAAGCTTCCAACCTTAAGCAACAGATTTTAAATTTCTCAGATGTCTCTCATTAACTTCTTACATCTATTTTCTCTGGCCTATCCCTTACCGGGGCTTAGTTTTTCTACGCTTTCCAAATCTTGTAGTCTAGAAAATTTTCTCCTTATAATGCCTATATTTCAATGTAAATTGTAATTTGAACTTTTCAAGGTCGAGGGCTACTACATGCAGAAAAAGAACATAATGTCTCACAAGGAAGTGGTACCCACATCGTGTGTTCACCTTCCCTTGTAGATGTCTAATTTCCTGTTCAACTAACATTAGAAATGACATATTCTCGATGAAACTACTTGTTTGACCATTTTTCAGGCAACTTTGTGCTCAGATGCTGTGGATGATTTTATCATATACAAGGTAAAGTTAAGTACTAGGACTAGTAAAATTCAGCTCTGAGCTTCATTCATACAATGAAAAGTAAAAAAAATAGTAAAAGAAAAAACAAAAAGCCATACCTTTAATCAACTAATAGAGACACAGTCACAAAAGATAATACCCATCACCAGATAACTGAAGTTGGATGTACCTTAACCATCATTTTCTTGGTTGGGGTCAAAAACATCAATGATTCTGTTAGATGAAATGTCTAGAAGAATGATTTACATTCTTTCTTTGCAAATGGATGGCCTCATTTGGGTTCATTTTCAAATTTGGTTATAGTAAGAAACTGTCTGAATAATATATGATGTAGATATTCATTAAAGCTCTTCACAGTATGTTAGGAAAGAAGGAAGAAAGGACAGACAAGGCATGATTTGTTGCCGAGTAGGGGGTGGGAATCGTATCGTGTTGGTCGTGTTTGTGACACAATGTTTTTTGCTATTCTTTACACCATAGTGTTAATTAATTGGCACAGATGTTATATTCTCTGAGATTTATCTATGAAGCCCAAAACTACGGAGTTGGAACTATTTCCTTGCCCAATTTTCCCACTTCCCGAACAACTAGAAGAGTCATATTCAGTTTTGGCAAGTTAAGACTGTTAAAGATTGCCTTGAAGACTCTCCTCTCCTCCCCATTTTCTGTGAATGCTGATCATAACATTAGTAATACAAGCAATCCTCCAGAACTCAATAAATTAATGAAGCCAAGGAAAATAGTGAATATATAAAAGAATGAAATAAATGAACATTATAAATATAGGAACTTGAAATGTTCTATGCCTAGATATTATGAAGGAATTGAATGAATCCCTAATCATCTGTTATTTTTCATCATTAACATGAACCCTATTGCATAGATTCAAGATACAAATTCAGAAGTTGATATACTTATCATCATCACACAACAAGAAAATCAGATAAAGCTTCCAGCATAAGAGCAGTGTTGGCTGACCATACCAAGGAGTGGAGTCTTTCAATGGTTGGGTTGTTTTATGATCCTCTGCAGAACCACAGTCCTTGCCCTACGAATGTCTCGGCTACACATATCAGCTTGAACCCCCAAATCCTCCACACTCTTCATAAACACCCCTAGTTTCTTCTTTATCTCCTCTATCCCAACCATCACCGCCTCTTCTTTAATGGCGAAATCAGCAACATTCAAGAGCGATTCAATCTCAATCTCCAACCGATCAATGAGCACCCGAATGTTATCCAAGTCCTTAATGACAACATAAGTACCCACTTGCATTGAGCTAAGTACTTCCTTCTGTCCTTTCACAGCATTTTCATAGTTCTTCCAAAGAGAATCAATCCACTTTCCCATCGATCCCAGTGGAATTGAACTTGCAGCGGCTAAAGCAGCAGCGACAGGCGGGGCAGCCATGGCTGCTGCCACGACTGAGCAAATCAACACCGTGGCAAATGTAGCTACGAAGATTATACTTGAAACCTTCCTCCAAGCATGAATGTACTTTAGCTTCTTGTCAAGCTTTTTCTTTCTCATTTGCAATTTGTCAAGCATTTGTAATTGCTGCCTATAAACAGCTTGGAAAATTTGAATGAACTCATTGGTGAAAGGGTCACCAGCATTCTTGAAATTCTTCAACTCCTCCAAAGTCCTCTCATATTTGTTCCCCTCAACTTTATCATGCTCTTCGTCGAACAGTTGGAGGGCAACGAGGATGAGCAATTGGCTATCACGAGCACGCTTGAGGCATTTTTCCAATGCAGTGCAGAAATCGAGAGTTTGCAAGCTGTTCTCAAAGTACTCCTCAACAAGCTCAAACAATTCTTGATTCTTCCATATGTCTTTCTTGCACTCCAAGATCACTTTCACTACCTCCTGGTTCATCTCCAAGAGGCATTCGGTTACTTCTTTTAGCGAATCGAATGAGAGGGCACGAACCTCAACACCGTTTGCGAGGGTGTTGATGACTTGGTTCGTGCGTGCTTGGAGGCTTGTGTCGAAGGACTGTAAGTCCTCATCAATCCTGCATGCGGCCTCATATGAATTGAGCTCAGTTGTGTATTGGAGATTGTTATTGAAATTGAGTGTTGGTGGTGGCGGTGGCCTTGTTGCTGCTGTTGAAGTTTCAGGTGGCTTGGTTGTGCTCATGTGGTTCCCCATGGTTTCAATTCAGATCTATACAAATCAGAAAACCAAACCAATTTCAATATACACAATCTATATCCTCGTAAAATCCCCTGAATTTAGACCTTGTGAACCCAAAAAACAATAATCTTCTATTAAAAGTTCTTAATTTCAATTCTATCACTTAATGTTGTTTCCTAATGAACAAGATAAGCAGAACCCAAATATAATTCCTCAAAAATGAAAATAAATACTGATTCTTGCTAACATATAGATAAAAATAAACAAACACAAATGTCCACGAAAATCAGTAGAATCTACTCAAGCTCTTGAAACTAATCAATATCAATAATACCCAGAAACAGAAAGAAAATCAGTAGAATCCATTCAATCTCTTAAATCTAATCAATATCAACAATACCCAGAATCAGAAAGAAAATCACTAGAATATACTCAAGCTCTTGAATCTAAACAATATCAATAATACCCATAAACAGAAAGAAAATGAGTAGAATCTATTCAAGCTCTTGAAACTAATCAACATCAAATAATACCCAGAAACAGAAAGATCAGTACCTCACATAGATTTCTTCACAAATCAGCTGTAAAAAGGGACTGAAATTTCAAGCCTTTGAAGGTTATCAGAACAAACAATTACCAAATTGTGCGAGTTGGGTTTTGTTTAGAAACAGGAAAGTGATGTAAATAAAGTGGATAAGCGAGAAAGAAAAAGATAGAAATAGAGAGAGAGAGAGAGAGAGAGAGAGATGAGGATGAAGAAGCTTAAAGAGAATTAAAACCGTTAAGGACCAAGGAATGTGGTGGGTTGAAGAGAGAGATTGATGAGATTGAGAATGAGAATGACTTGCACGCATGAGAAAAATGAAGATTGGAGATGGAAAACGCGGGAAGCAATGACTTTGGTAATGTTTTCTCTCTCTAGAAACTGTGCTACATACATATCTATTAATCCCAACTGTGAAAGTTTAGATAACGCGCAAAGCAATTGTAGCCATGGAAATTTGAGAGGAACCGTGAGAAACTTGAGCTGAAAGACTGGGAAGTAACAGAGCGAAGAGAGAGAAAGAGACAAAGGTCTTCATGAGCTAGAATTTAGGGAAGGTAGGGGTTAAAGCTGACATGTTCATTAAAGGTAAAAGCTGACATGTTCAGTAATTGACCAAACTACCCATCTCATTATTTAGAGGAAAAAAAAAATTAAAAAGAAACAAAACAAAGGCCACATACATATATATATATATATATATATATATATATTTAATAATTATCACAAAGGTCTGAAACCAATACATTACACATATTTGATAGAGTTTTATAAGCTGCGAGAGGATCCTCCTTGAGCTCCTGCTTACCGTTGGTCATCCAATGACTCAGATTAAAAAAAAAATCAAAAATGAAATGTTTTCGAGTTCCCGCTCAAACAAAACAACAACATAGCTCAGAGATTCACTTTCACTCTTACACAACACTCTCACTCTCACACAGCACTCTCCTCTGTCGAACCCATCCTCATCCTCACCGGCGAACCCATCCTCACCGACGGCGAACTCCATCCTCACCGACAGCGAACCCATCCTCACGCTTCGTGAACTCCACCGCGACGACCACCATCGGTTAAGCAAAGATCTCTTCAACACGAACCAGGTTGGTCTTCGAACAAAGATCTTTTTTCCTCTGTTTTCAATTTTGTTTGAACAAAATTCCATTGCTCAAGAAGAGCTAACAGTTTCAAACATAGTGAACCCTGTGTAGAATTCCATCTTTTGTCCTCTGTCTTCATGAACCAGGTTGTGGATATACTGAACCCTGTGTAGAATTCAATGTTCTCCAAGATCATATCTGAACCCTCATGTTTTGTTAATTACAAATTAGATCATATCTGAACCCTCATGGAGACATTCTCATTAATCTATCCAAAAAAAAAAAATTCCAAAATTGACAGCCTGATTCCTAGAGAGAGAATTTTATATATGAAGATTGGTCCCGTAATATTTGGCAATTTTCCCTTGTATGGTATGCATTAGAATATTTGAGGTACAGTGAGTGAATATAAAGATTCTTTAGGATTGAATATAAAGATTATTTGAGGTACAATGAAAGTTAGGTCTGATTTCCAACATTACAGCCTATTTAGACTATATTGTCACTGATTGTAAACAGTGGTGGAAAAATAGATTTTAATATATATGACAGAGTTCCAACATATACATGTAGAAGTGGAATTTTTTAAAATTGAACTTAGTCTCTCTATGTTTTTATGTATGTTTTTTTTTTTCAAACTGAAATTATGTTTTTTTTATATGGGTTTTCAGTTACATTTTGATATCGATATGGAACCTGAGAATGATTGTGATGGAAGCCAAAACAGGGAATGACATTTGATTCTGAATAATGTGCGTATGATTTTTATAATACATATGGAGGAAGAATGGGGTTTAGCATAAGAAGGGATTATTGCAAGAAGGACAAGTTCACTAATCAACTTATTTGTAGACTTTTGGTTTGCAACAAGGAGGGATTTCGAAACGTTGACAAGGGAGACCCATTGTCAAAAAACCCTAGAGCTGAAACTAGGACTGGTTGTGAGGCTCAACTTTATATTAAATTAGATGAGGGTACTGGAAAATTTGTTGTTACTGATTTCAGAGAAAAACAAAATCATGATCTTGTATCACCCAAGTGTGCCCACATGTTGCCATCACAAAAAAAGATATCGACTACCCAAGCAATTCAATTAGATTGGGCGGCACAATCTGGTCTTCGTTTAGGCCAGTCTTTTGAACTCATGGGTAGAGAAGTTGGTGGAAGGCAATGTCTTGGGTTTACGAAATTAGATTCTAAAAATTATTTGAGAACCAAAAGACAACAAAGTTTAGCATATGGGGAAGTAGGCAATGTGTTGCAATACTTTAAAGAAAAATCTTTGCAGAATCCTTCATTCTTTTATGCTTTTCAATTAGATAATGAGGAGCAAATAACTAATATCTTTTGGGTCGATGCACAAATGATCATGGATTATACCAAATTTGGTGATGTTGTCACATTTGATACGACTTACAAGTTAAACAAAGAACATAGACCCTTCGCATCTTTTGTGGGATTCAACCATCATAGGGAAACAGTTATATTTGGTGCAGCATTGTTGAATGATGAGACCGCCGAATCATTTGTATGGTTGTTTGAAAATTTTCTAGAGGCTATGTCAATAAAGGCACCAAAAACTTTTGTTCACCGATCAAGATGCTGTAATGGCTAAAGCCATACCCATCGTTATGCCTGACACAAGTCACCGATTGTGTACTTGGCGTTTGATGCAAAATGCATTAAAACATGTTAACTGTTTGTTCCAAGATAAGAAGGTGAAGGGTGTACTAAATAAATTCTTCTTTCACATTGAAGATGCAAATCAATGAAAGTTAGAGTGGACGGAAATGCTTGATAAATATGATGCGCATGAAAACCATTGGTTGAAATTGACTTTTGCGGTGAAAGAAAAATGGGGCTGACCTTACATTAGATCAACATGGGCTGCGGGAATGAGTACTACGCAACTTTGTGAATTTTTTAATGCTTTTTTTAAGGATTACATTCATTCTGATTTTAACTTAAATGAATTCTTCATGCATTTCGAAAGGGTACTTTACGAGAAGCGATACAAGAAGTTAGAAGTAGGATATGCTTTATGCCAAAGGTGAAAGCAACAATAAGAATGTTAATTCAAATGGGTAATGTCTACACAAAAAATATCTTTGAGGAATTCCAAAATGAGTACTTTCAATCCATTGAATCGGACATAGAAGCAATTGAATATGGGGAGGCTAGTAACATTTACACAGTTGTTGATGTTGGTAACAAATATGCAAGGAAAGTGAAGATGGAGAGAGATGGCTCTTTGGGTTGTAATTGTACAAAGTTTGAAAGGGAAGGAATCTTGTGTTGTCACTCATTGAAGGTTATTAGAGACATATTGAAGATGAAAGAGGTTCCTCCACAATACATTCTGAAGAGGTGGACCAAACAAGCAAGAGTCGAAACTGTGAAGGACATTAAGGGGAATGACATTGAAGTAGATGTGAAATTCCAACAAGCATTGCGTTATAAGACATTGATGACAGCATTTAGAGCACTAGCAAGTAGAGCTTCTGAAACTGAAGAAACCTTTGATTTTTGTATTGCACAGCTTGCTACATTAGGTGTAAATGTTGAAGGCAAGTTAAGTGCTCATTTTGGTGTTGGAAATGAAGTAAGTAATAATGATGACACCCAAAGCTTTGAAGTGGATTGCGAAGATATGAATCATGTTGTGCAACCAAAATGATTGAAGAAAAATGTGGCAACTAGTAATGGTAAAAGGAGGGTCAAAGATGGATTCGAAGCGGCGTTGGTAATGAACTCAAAAAAAAAAAATCCCGTGCTAACAGCTTGGCTTCGTTACAATCTATTGCAAGTTCAACAGTTGCACCTTCTCCATTGTAACGTACTCAAAATAATAACATTAACCCATCAATAAAGACATGCATTGATACATAAAAACTCCACATTCCTCTATTCATCAGAGTACCATTACAAAAAGTATTACATGTTAACGACAAAAGTAAATGCCCTACGGGCTTACAGCTTTCCAAGTTAACACTTGGTTACAATAAAAGAGTACTAACTCATTTACACATTAAGCCCTTGGCTTGAATTTACATGTAATACATCAAAAAGAAATAAGACAACAAAAATGTGTCCGCCTCTAACCTCCCAAGCTATGTCCTTGGAGGTGGCATGCTACCTGTACCTGAAAATGATATTCCCATATAGGGTGAGCCACAGCCCAGAAGAAATACACTAAACCAAATATGAACAATGACTAAAAGATTAGCAGTTGATAGATGGCCAACAGTGATACTTTCTCTTATCACACTTTACAATTTCATGACATACAATTCCATGTTACAATTCATTTTCCAGTTCCTTTCAATTCTCATTTTATAACCATGGCTCAGAACCTGGCCAGACAACTCATATGAGACAGTAACTCATATCAAGCACTTCCCCATTTCATAATAGATAAGCATACTAGCTATATCACATACCAACAGATAAGCATACAAGCTATATCATCAATTCCACAGATATGCATATGAGCACTATCACACTTCTAATGACAAGCATATGAGCTCTGTCAATACATCACTAGATAAACATATGAGCTCTATCTACGGAGTCCATCCCCTATCTCCTCCCAACAACATCCGGTTTAGAGGTCCATCCCCTATCTTCCCCTAAACCGTGGAGTACATCCCCTATCTCCTCCAACACAACACAATGCATATAAACAATAATTATACATATCATCACACAACACATAAATTTAACGTGTTCTTTCAATCATCATACTCAATGACTCATTCTAGTGATTAGTTTTCGTTTGCCTAATCATCATGCATTGTCTACAACAATCAAGATTATCCTCCACCGATAGCCCAAAGCAGTTATTTCTATACAAAAAAAATAAATGCAACAATAGATATACAATCAACATTTCAACCAGGTGAGCGATAAATAATCCAACTACACCCCTTAACCCCTTTCCCTTTCTAATTTCCACATTTTCAATTCAATTCCTCTTTTCCAATAATTAATTATACAAATTAATCAACCAATGTAATTAGGGCATTTTCCATAATTAACATTACAACCCTTAGGTTCCATTTTCATTAATGTTTTAACATTAATTTCACTTTTTCCATGCCAAACATGCATCAAGGCTTTATATAGCTAAAGCCCTAACTTTTGTAAATTTACACAAAAGCCCCAAACTTTCACAAAATTACCAAACCAACCCCAACATCTCAAAATACTAAAATTTAAAGACAAAGCTCATAGTAAGGAGTAGGTTATCCCTACCTCAAAGAATGACACCCAACCAAGAAGATGATGGAAATGAAAATGCTCCAAACCACGAACTATTTGGATCAAAAGATAGCCCTCGACGATCAACAACTTTTTTGTAAAGGCCAAAGGTGAGGAAATCACTCCTACTAGATCAATACCTAGAGAGAAGGTAGAGCTCTAGAG